TTTGATCAGTTAGTTCATTATTCATGATCATCCATAATAATCATTCAACATAACAATTGATAACAAATAGCGGTCTAGTTTTGAGTGTTAACACCCTAACTTACTGTCATGCATCACATAATGTTTTATGTGCCTAAAAAATCATTTTTATTATACAAAATCTTATTTGTGTTGTTCATAATTAATTGTTATCAAAAATAGGATTTTAGAGCATATTTTCAGGAATATATTTTCGTAGCCGGATCTGGAATTGAGGAAAATAATTTAAAATAATCATTTAATTTATAAAAATTGATTTATATAATTTTAAATAATCCATTAATATATAATAATCAATTTTTACAATTTAAATAATCAATTAATTCATTATAATCGATTTTTACAATTTAAATAATCGATTAATTAATTGTAATCGATTTTTACAATATAAATAATCGATTAATTCATAAAAAATCGATTTTTAAAATTTAAATAATCCATTAATTCATAATAATCGATTTTTACAAATTAAATAATCAATTAGTTCATAATAATCGATTTTTACAATTTAAATAATCAATTGATTAATTTTAATCGATTTTTACAATATAAATAATTGATTAATTCATAAAAAATCGATTTTTACAATTTAAATAATCCATTAATTCATAATAAACGATTTTTACAATATAAATAATCAATTAATTCATAATAATCGAATTTTACAACATAAATAATCGATTAAATGGTACTGACTTCGAACCATTGATCTGAATAAAATTCTAATCGATTTTTAGTAAGTAAATAATCGATTTTCGGCCACTATTCATCATCTTCTTCCTCGGGTCAGTTTTAACGTTATCATTTTTAATCACAAAACTTCAATTTAATTATATAAAAATGTTCTCCAATGTTCACAGATCATTTTAGAGTCACTAATTCGTAATTTTAACAACAATTTAATTGTTTATGATTCTTGGTTCTTCAAACATGTCAAACACAAAACTCAACCAAACGACCGTTTATGAACGTAGAAACAATCTATATGAACATTCTAGTCACTAGTTATATCTACGGGCTTACCTCCAAGCTTATCGAAGGTTTTGAGAATTTTCCAGCGAAACTTCCGGCGAGGTTTCTGGCTAACTCCGGCGACCTCCAACTCTCTGGACATCACCACTCCACTCTCCACACTCTCAGGGACAAAAAGGAAGAAGAAAGGAAGAATTTGGTGTAAAAATGGTATATGGAAGCCTTCTTATATAGTAGGAAGGAGAGGAAGCTGCCAAGGGAGAGAAACATCATTCACGTTCGTGGACGGCTCAGTGCGCTAGGCTTCGATTTGATTCGATTATACCTGCCTTTCTTTGATTGGGGCTAATTTTAGTTCCAGTCGGGGTACACTTTTTGGTCCAACTTTCTCTGAATTGAATTCCGTTTGCACCGTTGCGATCAGAGAGTTAAACTCTATCCATAAATATAACTTTTATATTTATTTGTAACACTTTTTCCGACATCATATTTTTGGGTGGTTGACTTTGACAGAGTCAAAAGTGGTTTAATTGACCTTTCTCATAAAAGGTTCTCTCATTTAATTCACATCAATTATTCTCATGATTTATTTCAACAAATCATTTTAATATTTACATTCTAAACAAATTCTTTATTTACTCCTGATTTGAGTCTGTACTCAAGTTCCCAATCAAGCCCACACAAATAGTCCACATATTGGATTTATCTCTATGAGACTTATCCAGATTTTGATATTAGATGTCAAAACAAATTTCATATCGGCCCAAAGCCCAACAATAATTTATTTTAATCAAAACAATTGTGATTAATTGATTATTTATTCATTAATAATTCTAGGGTATGTTTTGGGGCGTTACACATTTCATCACCAAAACAACTCATTCTTCCTTCTATATTATTCCTTGCTGAGATTGGAGTGCAGTGGTGCTGTCATCTTTGTGTGAGGTCACCGGAGCAGTGAGATAGAATCGCCGAAAGTTTCGCCGGAAAATTTTCAAAACCTCCCTTACGCTTCAAGGTAAGCCCGTAGATATATCTAATGACTAGAATGTTAATATAGGTCGTTTATACGTTCATAAATGGTCATTTGGTTGAGTTTTGTGTTTGACATGTTTGAAGAACCAAGAATCATAAACCTTGAATTTGATGTTAAAAATATGTTTTAATAATTCTAATATGATCTATGAACCTTGGAGAACATCTCTATATAGTTTAATTGAAGTTCGGTGACTAAAAATGGTTTTCCCGAAAAATGGACCGAGGTTGAAGACGAATGAACAGTGGCTGAAAATCCACAGAGTGGATCGATCCC